GGCACAGACTCTACTTCAAGGACACTTCCCATGTGAAAGATGTTTTTGAGGCGTCATGGAAGAGTTACTGAAGCTAATAAGGGTGCAGGGAGCAGCAAGCTAAACAAATGGCGGGGTGCAGGAAGCAAGCGGGACACAATAAGCTTCAAATGCACTGGGTAGAAATACAACAGGTTGTTGTTGTTCAGTCGCACAGTCGAGCCCGACTCTTCGCAACCCCATGGACCAGCTCCCGCCAGGCCCTCCTGTCTTCCGCTGTCCTCTGAAGTTTGCTCAATTTCATGTTCGTTGCATCGATGACACTGTCTAACCATCTCATCCTTTGCCGTCCCCGTCTTCTTTGACCTTCAATCTTTCCCAGCATCAGGGTCTTCTCCAGTGAGTGCTCCCTTCTCATTTGGTGGCCAAAGTATTTGAGCTTCAGTTTCATTATCTGGCCTTCCAGGGAACAGTCAGGGTTGATTTCTTTTAGGATTGACTGATTTGATCTTCTTGCAGTCCAAGGGACTCTCAAGAGTCTTCTCCAGCACCACAGTTCAAAAGAATCTATTCTTCGGTGCTCGGTCTTCCTTATAGTCCAACTCTCGTAGCCCTACATGACTACTGGGAATACCATTGCTTTGACCATGCGGACTTTTGTTGGCAGGGAGATGTCTCTACTTTTTATCATGCTGTTTAGGTTCGCCATCGCTTTCCTCCCAAGGAGCAGGCGTCTTTTAATTTCATGGCTGCTGTCACAGTCTGCGGTGATCTGGGATCCCAGGAACGTGAAGTCTGTCACTACTTCCACGACTTCCCCTTCTATTTGCCAAGGAGTGATGGGGCCGGATGCCATGATCTTAGTTTTTTTGATGTTGAGCTTCAAGCCCACTTTTGCGCTCTCCTCTTTTACTCTGTAGAGTCCTCCCAGTAAGAAATACATTCCTACATCTGGAAGTTTACTCAGCCAAAGCTGTGGCTTAAGCTGAATAGACTTATCTTTGACAACAGACCCATAAAGAAAGGCAAGGTGATCTCTAAAGGGTTAATAAGTGTTTATACATAAACAGATGTGAGAGCAGATAAATCTCCTTTTGTGTGTTAGAAGAGCTTAACATCTGCTTTGCACTGTGTAATCCTACGAAGGAAGTGCAGGGTTTACTTTTCCTTCTTTCCCATAAAGAACAGATATTTACTAGCTGTAGCCTTTTCAGATATCCACTATAGCTTTTTTCAACAGAAAATCCACTAGTTATAGCTTTTTCAGTCTTTGATTTTTGGTACGTTACAGAGGGTAAATTACTCAGAGTGAAGTGATTCCCTTATATTCAGGCATGTTACTATAGTTCCGTTCACATCAGTTAAAATACCAAAAAGCCAACTGGAACATATCAAGATTGGCTGTTTCAGAATTGAAATTAATGCTTTCAGGTGATTGTCCCTAGGAGTTTTGAGAGATAGTACACATATAATTTAATGATCTGTAAACTGAGGGGGTATAAAACCAGAAATACATATAATAATTGGAATTTTAAAAAAATCAAATTGTGATGTGCAGGTCAAATCAAACCAAAACTAAAATTCAAATTCTTACACCTCCTCTCACATGACAAAATGGGTACTGTAATCACCACCAATTTGATATGGAAGTAGCAAGTAATGTAGGTGATGAGGGTCTCCAGTGTTCACTGGGCCCCCAGGGCAACTGGTAGACAGCCACTGTGTAAAATAGGATGCTGGACTAGATGGACCACTAGTGTACAATAGTGGGAGCCCGCTTATGTTCTTATGTCAGATGTTGGATTAGATGGACCAATAGTCTACTACAGTGGGGGGCTGCTTATGTTCTTATGTCAGATGTTGGACTAGATGGACCACTAGTCTACTATAGTGGGGCCCCGCTTATGTTTTTATGTCAGATGCTGGACTAGATGGACCACTAGTCTACTATAGTGGGGGCCCGCTTATGTTCTTATGTCAGATGTTGGACTAGATGGACCACTAACCTAGGGGTGAGGAGAGGAAGCAAAGGTGTGACGAATGAGATAACCATCCCGCAAGTTTCTTGCAGGTCTCCACTTGTTTATATCTATTTTGCCCTCCTTGTCCATGAAGTAGCCGGTGGTGGAAGGAGGATTGCTTATTTGCCATCTGTTTGTTTTTAATATTGTACTAAGATTTTAATTAATTTTATCTTGTTTTATCTCTGATTGTACATTGCCCAGAGCCCTGCAATAGCAGGGGTGGGGCGATTCCTAAATAAATACATAAATACATAAATTATAGCATTTGGCCTCTGTTTTAAATAAGTTTCACAATCCAATTACAAAACTGGTACAAAGAAATCTGGAAAAACGTCCTTCCGGTTTATGGCAACGCGCAGGCAGATGCATCTCCCGGACCTCCGGAATTGCAATCTGCACACCCGCATGTAGGAGGGAGCATGACAGGTCACAACCCCCCCCCGGGAGCCTTGGTGAAAGGCTCCTAGCCAGGGGGCTTTTGAGGGGCGACCTCTTCGCTGGGGCGATGCCAGAGAATTGAGGCGCTCCTCCGCCCTGACGGTCCTGCTGCTGAGTGTCCACATGGACTTAGTGCCGCCAACCGGGACAAGCGTGGGAGATCAAGTGAAAGAAACGATTGCCGAGCGAGGCCGGATGGCCGACAATAAACAGTGAGTCGGGTGGAAGCGAGCATGAGAAGTTAAAAAGAAAGCTACCCCCCTTACGAAGCGGTAAAAAGCGAGCGGGGGAGGGGCCACTCCCAAGCGCACAAGCGAAATACGGAATAAAGAGGGGGGGAGTGGAAGAGCAAGCATTTAAATCTGTTTTAAGAGACTTACCAGAGCGCAGCTAAGCGTAGGGGTGAATTTCAGAGACTTTGGCAACTTTTAAAGAAAGTAAACAATCCAAAAAGATGGCGGGGAAGAAACCAGATAAAGACAAACTTGTGAAAGCGAAACTAGTGGGCTGTCCTCGAACGGAAGAGACCACTGAGCTTTCCAAAATGCTGGCAGATTCCTTGCACCCTCTGCTGGACAAGATGACTAATATCAAGCAACAATTGTCAACAATAGGCCAGAGCTTGGCTTCACAGCAGCTACAATTGACTAAATCCTTAAAAGCAACGGAGCAAATAGCTGAGAAGGTGAAGGAAATGGACGCTGATACTAAAAAAATTAAGAAAAAGGTGCAAAAGCTGGAAATGAAACAGGCAATGGGAGAAACACAACTTTTACAGTTACAAATGGAAAAAGCAAATCTGGTCCTACGGTTTCAAGGGGTCCAGGAATCAAAAGGAGAGAATCTGAAGCAACTGCTGAGTGAAGCAATAGCCCCAATGACAGATTGGAAAGCGGAATATCTTCACAGCGAGATGGATGTGGTCTACAGGTCCTATTCCTCATACATTAAGAAGAATAATCTGCCAGGGGAAATAATAGTAAGAGTCTCGAAGAGACATGTGAGAGACACTATCTTGAAGGTAACTATGGGAACACCCTTGAAAATCGGGCACAAAAATATCAGGATTTTAAAAGACATTCCATTTGATATAAGACAGAAGAGAAAGAAATACAAAGAATTAATCCTTTTTCTACAAACAAATAGCATCGGATATAGATGGTTAATTCCAGAACGCGTCATTTTCAAACTCCACGATAAAAAAGAAAAGATTGACTCTGTTCTTAAAGCACGGGTGTTTTTGAGAGCACAGCTGGGGGAACCAGCTGAAGACAAGAAGGAAGGAGAAGAAAGTAAATCTGATGGCGAATTGGACTCGGTGTCTTCTGACAAGGACTCTCCCTCCGAAAAGGGGGCGGCTGTCCCCAAAATTTCATATAAATTGAGGATTAGAAAAGATTTTAAAAAATAAAGGCTGAAGGACTGAATTGTGCCTGAAAATTTTACAAAAATTGTGGGATGCTCTGGGGGTTTCATTAAACAGATATAATGATTAAAAAGTTATACAACTTAGCATAACTGACCATATTCAATGTATTATCAGCATGTTAGATTAACATTGATATAAGCGGTTGTAATGATCTCTTATTCTTGGGTTTTTAGTTATTAGTGGGTATCTTTTCTTTTTCCTTAGATGTAGTTCCCCTTTCCCTTTTTTCAGTTATAGTTTGTAGTGTTGAAAAAATAAATTAAAAAACTCCCCCTAGGGGGATTATTAAAAAAAAAAAATCTGGAAAAACTACAACAAAGGAGAATAATCAGCTATGACAAAAAGATGACTAGACATTTTAATGGTAACTTCTTTTATGAACTAGTGACACCGCAGTAGGTTACCCAAATACTACAGGCAGCTTAGATGCTCCCCCTCCCCCCAGCACTTTCCTACTGTGCAAAGCTCAAACATTTTGGTAATATTTATTAATAAGGCTACGTAAAGGATTTTCATGACTAGCTACAATATTAAATAGCAATGACAATAATTCTTAAAAAGCAGCTTGCAGCACTGTTTTACCTATCAGCTGAACACTCCACCAAGGGAACCCATTATCAGCTCAATGCCACTCTGCAGCAGCCCCGGGACAATGCTAATCCATTTCAAATTATGGTAGGCACGCATAAATACAAAATAAAATCTTTAGGAAAGACAGCTGAAACACAGAGACAATGCCTGCAATTCCAAAATGTTTTGCTAGCTTTCACTCTCTAGAATTGGATGCATAAAGGCTGGGATAACTTGCTGTGAACAAATTAAACAAGTCTGAGTTGTGCAAACATCTTCCCAGAAACATACCCCTAACTCATTTACTAGTGACCTCTAATTCAGGTTAGTTTCTTCTCATATCTGCATAAACTGTCCAACATGATTTTTTTTTCTGGGAAAGTTTAATCCACTAAACTATGCTTCACTGTTTCTCACAATCCCTTAAGTGACATTTTACGTAACAGTTTTAACATTTCAGGCATTGAAAGGGGGAAAGAGAAACTATCCGAGAACACTTGCTATCCAGAAACTAACAGACCTATTGTGAAACTATTTCAATTGACACGGAAACACAGTACCTTGGATGTCAGATCCCGATGAAAAATGCCTTTATAGTGAAGGTAACTTAGTCCCAGAGCAAGGTCCAGTGCCAGTTTCACTCTCACTGTCCAGGGCAGATGCTGGTTACTGTCTAACAGCTGTTCCAGGTTACCACAGTTGATGTACTGGGGACAAAACATCACATTTTTAAAAAACAGTTAAGACTGTTCACAGTTCAAAACGAGGCAGTTCTAGAGAAGTACTGCCAGATTTCAAATGGGGATGGATGTTAATGTTAATGACTTCTTTGTATCCTCATCTAGCTTGTCTGGAAGTCATCAAAGACTGCTCAGCATTGCAGATGGTAACAAAATACATCCATCAGTCCAGCTTTCAGAAATGGACAATGTGCTCTCAATAGTCAAACCTGCTAAACTTCAAGAATCAGAAAATTCAGCCCTGACCTGGATAGCCCAGGCAAGCCCGATCTTGTCAGATCTTGGAAGCTAAGCAGGGTCAACTCTGGCAAGTACTTGGATGGGAGACCTCCTTGGAATACCAGCAGTCGGGAGGAGGGGGCAGGCTTTATTCAGCCACCTCTCTGAATATCCTCCAGGCCACCAGTAGGGGGTCAGTTACCAGAGATCACCATGACTTCCAGGTGCACACAGATTCACATGTACACACACACACACGAAAAATACAAAGAAATATCAGGAAATTCAGATTTAGTTAGCATAAGTACCCAACATTATCACTGTATTTACACTTCTCATTTAACATATTCAGATCAAAGAAGTATAGCAGATCTGAATTCAGATGAAAGATCTGAATATCCAAGTGCCATTGCATTAACGTAAATCAATAGTCCAATATTCATACAATCCACTGAACTGTAATCAGGGGCAGATTGGCCATTATGGCCACCAAGATTTTTCCCAGTTGCCTAAAGGCCTGGGAGACACCTTTCTTTAGCTCCCCCCCCCACACACACACACTGGGGTTGCCAGTTTAATCCACTAAATGGCACACAAAAGATGTTTCTAGTATGGCAAATTATGCATAGCATGGGAAAGGTACCAACTGGGGCTAGCTGGGCAAGAAAGGAGGGCTTCACAGTACCTCCTTGCTTCCAGCTCTTCTTCCTCCATCAGGGGGATAGGATGGGGGGGAACTTAGGGGTAGCCCCTTTTCCAGGGCCATTCTGGCCTCTGAGTCTGCCCCAGAATTCAAATATGTCGTTTTGTACTTGTCCAATATGCTCAAGGAACTAAAAGGTATCAAAACATTTTCTTTGGTTGGATGCTAAGCTACTTATCCCAAGTTTCAGGAGCCTGTTGAAATTTCTCATATATGCCACAAAAGTTCAAGGCTACTTCACTGAAGTATAACAGTTCTTCACTTATGGAGCTGCAGTATGATATTAAGTGATCAAAGGGACAAATTAATCCTGCACACATTAGGAAAGTACTGTGTAATTTGCCCTTTGGGGACAATGGCTATTTGTCCTAGGAGAATCGCAAACACAAGTCCAATATGCATCAACAAAGTTTTCAGCACATTTATTACATGTCCCTATGTTTACTGTGTGCCATAATACTTGAAGGAGAAATACTCGTCTTATGGAAATGATATATTTTATGTTGGTGAAGAAATAAAATTAATTTAATAAACCTGATACCGTGACAGCAAAAATGGTATTAACTATCTTAAATAGCAAATATTTCAATTCCCCCTAATAAAAAAAACAACCCCCTGTGGTTTCAAAAATGTTCTGAAATTTCCATCTCTGAACATGCTACCCAAATAGCCTACTACCTCTACATCTTCCAGTCTGGTTAAGTACATGATCTAGTTTTATCACCTTCATTACCAAAGCAGAGTTTATTGCTAGGATTACGAAAATGGAAGATGCTGCTTTCTCTTTCCTATCCAGATTTTCATGCTATTTTCAGGAGAGAAATTAAAACACATTCTCATATGAGTTTTTAAAGCACTGGGACCAAATCCTGGGATACATATCAATAAGTGTATATGGCAAACAGCTTTGATGGTTATGTACCAGACTACATGGTCTACACGTAATATGTGGACAATGTGTTTACACACACACACTTGGGAACCTAACACAGTCAGGATACAAGTTGCCAGATGTGATAGATAACAACAGATGGGAAAGGGGGGGGGAACAGGACTATGGGAAAAAAGATATCTGAAACTGTGTGGGGAGAAATGCAATACATCAAAAACTAATTATGAAAGCAAAACTGGGCAATGTGGACAAAAAGGTTGGTACTGCTGAATACAGAGTTTTAGGAAGATCTCTTTTCTTCCAGACTCCTTATTTATTCTATACTGTGTTTTCTAACTGGGTCCTTTCCTAGCCCATGAATTTCTTTAATCCATGTTTTAAAAGAGGGGGGGAACCCTCTTTCCTCAGTACTTAAATCAAGTCCATCTTTTATCTCAATCACCCAATCAAGTTCCTTTATATAAAGCTGTTATCTAACTTGTTCAGTGGACCAATTGCTCTCCTAAAGATGCTCACAGGAGTCTGGCATTTTCCGTATCACTGTAAGTAACCACAAGAAAGATGAATTTTTTGAAGAACTATTTTTAATACACTAGCATTTTTCTGTGTTATGCTCAATTAATTAAATCTTGTACACAAACTGTTGGTATTGCTTAAGCATCTTTGACAAATGCTTTAAAGAGTTATTTTTGGCACTGCAGTATAAGGTCTAATCTTTACAGTTTAAGAACTATTGTGAAATTTCCATTATGGTCCCCAATATGGCACCTACTCTTACACAAAGGTCTGATTTCCCATTATTAATTGCACACTTCTCTCTCGTCACATTTGTACAAATAAACAGGAAGTAAAGAAATCTTCAGAATTTTAGACCCTTGAAGCATATTTGCGAAAGTAATGGAAAGACTACTATGTAAAGCCACCATTATTACCAACGAATTTCACCAAATCACATATTGTTAGTTTGTGGGAATGTGCAAGTAAGACTGGTACCACTGGAAAAAGTAACAATTCATTTAAATTGACAAACCCCTCCCTGGTTTAAGGCAGTCCTGCCTTTACTTGTGAACTACAAATTAGGATAGCAAACTATGACTTGATTGTTGCCTTGAAACAGGAAGGGTAGGAACTGCAACACATGTGGAGGAACAAGAGGTGTGAGGAAAAGAGCACTTGTATCATGTTGTATCAAGCTACTGAATGTATTCCTGAAAAAGCAGGAAAGTTGCTTTCATGGAAAGATTTACTTTGATTTTGCTATGACCAGCAGCTGCAATTTTGTGTTGAACTTTCTGCAATTCTATGATTGCATATATCAATATGACTGGATTTAACAGATTACTTTGGCATCAATATAGTTGTTTTTGTAAGTTTTATGAACACTCTTGCACTGCATTTCTCCCTTACACAGTTTCAAGTGTCCCCTTTCCCCTCCATACTTTTTTTTGCAGGTAATGACAGTATAATACTGGTATACAACACACATTTGCCACATCAAGTGCAGAGTTGCTCCAACTGTCAGGATCTGGTAACATCTTTCCCAGTATGAATGGAAGATTCAGACCTTTTGCAAGTGCATCCAATTTCATGCCTATTGTTCATGTGGTTTCAGAGTGTTGTGCTCATTACAACTGTAATTTAACCTTATCTACTCATGCTGTTACCACATGAGAAAAAAAGCAAGGCCCAAACTCCGTACACTGAATACTACAAGGACATAGAAGAAAGCATCCTACAAAACCCTGAAACAGCATGTTCATTTCGTTTCCTAAAAAAACTATATAACCTCTCACCAGCAGTGTTCCCTCTAAGCTGAGTTAGTGTGAGCTAGCTCACAGTTTTTTAGCCTCCAGCTCACAGATTTTTATCTTAGCTCAGGAAGGATGGCTCCAAAGCAAACTAGTTTATGCAGTAGCCAAATCACCTGCTCACAACTTTAATGGCAGTAGCTCACAAAGTAGAATTTTTGCTCAACGAACTCCATAGCTTAGAGGGAACATTGCTCACCAGCACCACAAATTGCTCATGATCAAGAACCCTGGATTAAAGGTGATCTGCTACCTAGAATCCCACCATTTTCTGATTAACATGATCAGCACGATGGGGGAAACAAGACGTTATGCCAATGCACTTTGCAGTTCCAAATATGAAACTCCAAAAATGGAAAAATATTAACCAATTCTGCTAGATAGGGATATATTGCAACTGATTATAAGATAAGCTTCACTTTAAAACTGGTTTCAAAATTCATTTGGTTAGTATTTAAAACTGAAAAAGACTTTTAATTTTAAAGACAGGTTACAGTGCAATACTAAACAGAGTAATGCTCTTCTAAGCAAATTGACTTCAGTGGATTTAAAGATTAGGTTTAGGATTGCACATTGTTTAGGACTGCACACTGATTTGGGAATCAAAATGGTTAAGGCTTTGTAATTTACTCTGAAAATATAACTAGATGTAATGGGCCAACCAGGCTATGGCTTCAGAAGAAGCAAAAGAGTTTTTCAACTGGAAAAGGAGATAAATTCAGCAATAATGACAGTACAATATCAATATCAAGTTTGTCTTTGAAGAGCTAGATGGTGAACTAGGACAATATGATGTCTTGTTGCCCCACCCCAAATGGCACTAAAAATTCATCCACGGTCATCTGTGTAATCAATTCAGTTTACTTTTGAGAGGGCCTACAAAGACTGCTGCACAGTACTGTGAAAACCTGGGCATTGGACCAATGGTTTTTACTCAGTATCAGAGAGATAGCATAGTATAGAATAAATTATGAAGAAAATGTGTTCGTGCAACCCTAGATTCTGCAGTCCTGATCACTTTTTCTCTGAATCTGCCAAGCACATTCCAACTTTTATATTATGACATTCTGCAACACAAATTGGAGCACTGCTAGAGAACATTTCCTTCTATTCCAGCAAGGGGTATTAGCAAAACAAGGAACTAGTTTGTGCGTGACTCTGGTCTCTTATTTTCTCTAAACGAGCCTTCCTATGTATGGCCCTGTATGGAGAAACCAGGTTATGAACCAAGATGTACACTACTTTAAGCTTTCAGAGGACAGCAAACATCTCCCCACTAGCAACAACACTTTTGCAACTATTGCAACTACAGAAATGGATGGTCACTACCTGCATACTGCATAGT